AGCCCCGCGCTTGGCGAAGGAGGGGTAGAAGTTGCCCAGCTACCATGGTGTCCGCTCCATGCCAGGCAGTTCCCATAAGAGCATACTGAAAAGAAAAGAAAAAAGCCTTTGGAAACTAGTTGGAAGTAAAATTAGATTTGTTATTAACCTAGTGTTATAAATACATGTGTGAATTTGCGCACCTGCAGTATGTAGGGAGGGAAATATTCGCGGGTGTGGTGGCTTCCTGACTGAAGAAGTTTCAGAGCATCCCATGACCCGAGCTGAACTCCAAGCTCTCGTAGGTATCTGAGCAGTCAGCTGCTCTGCAAAGGCCTTGCCCGGAGTCTTTTTTGTGCTTTCAGTGGCCACATCCTAACTGGCAGGTCAGGCCTGGGGGGATTTCTTTCTTTTGTTTTCAGCATTTCAGTCAAAGCTGTATTTATAGCAGCAGGGTTTCTCGCTCTTCAGCATAAGTGGGTGTGATCAACACTTTCTCCTAAACTATCACAGCTCTGAACAAACAGCATAATGGAGATTGCTCCCTCCGAGTCCTCGCTCTCTTGCACCAAATGAAGTCTGCATCACCTGTATAGTTGAGGTTTATGCTGAATAAGTGTAAGAGAAAGGGCAAAAGGTGTGACATCCCACAGCTGTTCAGAATGGCTGACTTCTGAGGTGCTGCAGACTTAAATGATGCGGGGATAATACATGGACTGGGCCCAAGCTTAGTTTATAATGGAACTGAGATGAAGTCCCATGATTACTGAAAATTAAGTGGAGATCAAAACACGAATAAGAGAGAAAACTATTAAACAGCATTTGGTACAGAATGGTGCTTTTTATATAATGCAAGTGATCTGAAAATCTCTTGAAAGTATGTAGCTTTTTATATTGTGTTTAATAGAGATGAAAAATAAGTTATTTCTGTAGTGCATGTAGGGATAAAGCCCTTGAACAAGAGATGAGGAAATCTTTTTCTAAAAAAAATTGTGTAATTGTTTCTCACATCATACATGGTTTTTATTGGATACTGTAAAAAAATCTAAAAACCTGTATTTTCTTTTAAGATGGAGGTTGCCTGGGTTCAGCTGCCCCAAGTTCAACTTTGGATTTTTTGCACGTATGTTGTTAGAGCTGAACGAATGGACACACACATGGCTGAAAACATCCTATCCTGCCATTCACCTGTTTGCTGCTTTCCTCTGGTTTCCATGATTCCTACCTTGAGCTGTCCTTATCAGTTCCCATTCACACCTTAACTCACCCGCTGTCTTTGACCTTTAAACTTTGGTCTCTTCCCTTGCCCTCCGTGCTCATTGCCTGCTGTGTCCCATCAGATTTATTATTCAGTGACAGCTTTTTATAGTTGAAGCAGCCATTTAGGTGATACGCAGCTTACACATGAGGTTATCTTTTCTTCTTGTTGTTTTGTTTTTTTTTTTTTTTCCCTAGTCATACAGACAAAGGGGTCTTTTGAGTCTGTTGTAGTATGAAAAGTCCTAGGGAAGAAAATGGTAACTTCTCATGCTTGTCTCCAAAATATAAAAAAAGTTTGTAATTAATCTTTCTAGCTGAGGCCAGGACACTGGAAAGTGCACCCAGGCAGCTAAGTGAAATCTGTATAGTGCTGAAGCATGTGAGTATGTAATTAAATAAGAAAAGCCATCGTAGCAGATGACTTGCATCACAGATGTTGCAAAGAATTAAAGCTGTCTTCCGTAATGTGTATAAAATTAAAGGTGTTGGAACTTAAACGAAAAATTGGCCAGTCCTTTTGGGGTTCCCTGCATTTTACAAAGTAGATGAATGCAGCGGTTTGGTTCAAACCAAATCAATAAGCGAAATAACCTGAGTCTGCCAGAATTGTGTGGTAAGAAATGGGATGCATGGTGGGCGGGTAGTTAAACGTATTGCAGTTACATCAGACTTCTTTGGAGGAGTCTGTGTGTAAAACCTCTTTCTGCTTCCTGTCTGATCCTGTTCAGATGTATATTCAACAGCTAAATACAAATCTGCTACTAGCTGCTTGGCGTAGTGAAGTTTGCCATATCTCCTCCTCTGTCAGAGCTTGAAAATTTTCCTGTTGGGCTTAGTGGGAGTTTTGCCACTGCCTTTTCTGAGTGTTAGTGCATGACCCATGGGGCAGAGTTTTCTTGTGAAAAGTTTCCCTGGCAGCAGGTGCTTACCCACTGGTGTAGGTGTGGGCACTGTGATTTCCCCTTGCTGCCACTCTTCCTTCCATTTGGAAGTCCTTAGCTTGCCTCTTGCTTATGTTAGTGCTTACTTGGATATATGCCAGCCCAGGTTATGGGCTGGATGTCAGGAAGTTTAGATTAGATCAGCCCTGTGAAAATGTGCAGCCGTATTCCTCCTGAGCACAGTGGATTCTGTCCCAACGGGTAAAGACAAGAGCAATGCTGTGATTCCAGGGTCTGTACAGACCTCCTGGTTTGGGATGCATATGTGTGATTGTCTTCAAGCCCGATCTTGGAGCATTTTACATGTTCACTTGCTTCCTTCCTTCCCAAGGGCCGTTGCCTCCAAATGACTTCAGCCCTGTTGATAATATGCCCAGTGGCTGTGTCAGTTATCAGTGTTTGGCTGAAAACAGTGAAGATGTGCAAACAGCATGTGTTGACTTTTTAAAATCATGTGAGGGTCCTGGCTGGAATAGGGTGACATTCTCTCCTTGTTTCACTGTGGTGGTGTCCAGCAGTAGGTCTAACCACATGTTGTGCAAAAAAGGATTGTTTCCTCCACCAGGCTGGGGCCTTGAAGCTTTTGAAGGCCTGAAAAAAACTGTGCGAGAGCAGGTAGTCACTGTCTAGTATGGTCTGATTGTCAGCCCCTTAGAAGGGAACATCTAAAAGTGTGCACTGTGTGCATCTGTCCCAACTGTGTATGATGGGACTCCAGCATTTGTCATTGCCAGCCTGGTGAGGGCAGACTAGTGCACGTGAACCTCCTTAAGAAGATAGTATGCATAACAGAACTGGCTAATCTGACCGTCAGTATTTCTGAAAAACCTAACGTGGATGGTTGCCACAAGACACTGGTGTCTTTAATTTGGTTGCTGTCGGAGCCTACAGAAGCAGCGAAGTGAGAGAGCTTTATCAGTCACTCTGCTGCCATCCTTGCAGCTTCTCCAGAGCATTGCTCATAAGTGTACAGCTACATGCTGCCTACTAGGATAGGAAGAAGCTTTTTTTGCTGGGCTCAGCTGATGAGCTGTGGTGTGGAATGGTAGACAGGGTGACCATACCTGTGTGTGCATGAGAGGGAGGCAGGCAGGCAATGTTGTTTGTTATGCTTTTTGTCATTTTTGGCCTGAAGGTTGCTTAGCTGTAAATAATTCATAAGCGATCAACTGGAAGCCTAAGGCTCTGTTTTAGTGGTTCGTCCTGTTTTGATAATGGACCAGTAAATGTACTGCTTTTACTGCTCCAAAAAACCCCTGGTTTTGTGGATGTGAATGGATTGGTACTTCTGGAGCTGCAACTTGCAGCAGATCTTGAAAGGTGCTTTCTTCTGAGGTGGGAATGAATCTGTTGTCAGTGCTCTAATTGTTGTTGATTAAGTAACTGACTGTGGTGATAGACCTGATGATGCCCTTCTGGAAGCTGTTTCCAGGGTCAATTGAATCGTGCATCTGATGTCTCTTGCAAAGCAAGAGTTGTAGTTTCAAGACCTCCTCAGTCTTCTAATTGCGTAAGGGGTTTTTTGACAATACCCTGGACAAGGAATATCCTTCGGACTAACTCCTGCAGTTAACATTTGGTTTCATTCTTCTGTCATCCTCATGTATAAATGAGCATCACTTCTTAAGGTAATTTATGAGACTGAAAGACCCAACTGGATATCTGCAGGTGTCTCATCTTACAGTCTGCAACTGCCATTTGCAGCATATTACATTCTGGACAGCCTAATAAAAAGAGGAGACCTCCAAAAATGCATGGTTTGGTGTTTCGTAGTCAAGACTTAGTGCTTAACTAAGCAGATTATCTTAGTGGTGCTTGAGAGAAGACATGATCCTACTGCTTCCTAATTTTCTTTTCTTAGTGACAATACTGGTCTTCATTATCTCTAGATAGCATGTGTGTTGAGACTTAGAGAAATTTAGTTTTGCAAGCTCCACAAACATATTTTATGCAGTTTATGAGACTACAGGGGCTTTCCTTCTGGTGGGGCTTTTCTGTATCGGCAAGCTCCTGGCACTGTTCCAGCTCAGTTGCAGTCATGGATGTAACATGAGCATCTTCATTCGTTTTGAGCACTATATAACTTGTCCTCACAGGATTCTTCCTTGCCACATTTTGCAATGTTGCCGTTGTTGTTCTATACTTTGCTGTGGTCTCCTTCCCAATTAAACCACCTTTGCAAGCATTTATACTAGGGAGACCTTCAGTTGCAGAATGTGGCCAGCCTGTAGTAATGGCACAGGTGTAACACAGGAGGTTATCTGAGGGCAGTGGCCCCTAGGGTTTGTGATAGTAGATGCAAGTAAAAGCAGCACATTTTTTTTCTTAATTTTCTCACTTAAAAAAAAAAAGGGCAGAATATAGCTAACATGCAGGAAAAAGTCTATAGACTTTCAGTCTTGAAAAAACTGCCAGCTTTTTTTTTTTTTTTTCCTTTTTCTGGTGAGCATGTAAAGCGGAAAGGAGGAGCAGCTGCTGTTGTGTTGCTTGTAATTGAGGATGACTGTACTATAGTGTCTGGGGCAAATCAGGGTTGTAAGTTGCAGATGACTCTGTCATAGGTGGTAAGGATCTCTTAGCTGATGATTAATAGTGTCACTGGATGTTTGAGCCAAGCCAGCAATGTTGCCACATCCTTCACCTTGTGAGGTTTTTCTGCCTGGGGATATGCAGTTTCTGTTGAGCAGTGCCTAAGCTTTCCTTGAC